ATCAAGCTTACAGTCAGCAGCTGTGGGAACCCTGGAGTCTGGGTCTGTGAAGTAAGTAACAACTGGGCAGTATCACAGACCCCGAGACAGGGAGGGCAAGTTGAATATGACTGGGTTTCACATAACTTATGTCAGGCCTACAAAAGAATGTCAAAGCAGCAACTATTTTAAACAAATTAATGATGGTACTAAATCTACTGGTTTCCTTTTCTATTCTGGGAGTGGGGTGAGGGCAAAAGAGCACAATCATTATTTTTTCTTTTCAAATAAATTAGCAGGCATTCATCTTCTAACCTACTTTATATAAAAAAGTGAAATAGCTGGTGAAATGATTTCAATCTGGCAGGCTCATTGGTTTTGGCATCCAGCACATTCTCATTTGTGTAATCAAGAGAATGATGGGTAATTTCATATAGAAGCTTTTCCTCAAGCTTTCACTGCTCTTTTTCTTTCTGCCTGCCCCTTCTTCCTTTGACTTTAGATGCCCCATTATCCAGGACAGCAAGTTGGGATTCACCCTGCTTCCTCCTGTCTCCTCTAATTGTGGTAAAATGGTCAGAAGAGCCAGAAGTGACCCCAGATGCTCATTCTTGGTTGACAGGACAATGGGCCAGCTGAGACTGGTGCCTCTTCCTCCCAGTGGAAGATGCTAGCACTGCTCATACCAGCTACAGCCCCCTCCCACACCTGTCCCTCACACTCCATGCAACTTCAGTGTAAAATTTCCACCTGCTGGACATATCTGATGGAGACTACTATGAAGCAATCCCAAGCAGGACTTAAATTAACCAGGCGATTTTTTTATGTTTACTTGTGAATCTGTCCAAAGCCTAGGACGCTTGTCTGGAAGTGGGCAATGGACTCATACTAAGTGAACCTCTGTGAGTCACTAATCCCTACTAAAACCAGTAATGGTGGATGAAGCTGGAAAGCCTCAAAGTCAAGATCACAGCCAAGGACACCTGGATCAACTGGATAAAGACTATAGCCTCAGGCATCTCACTCCTGGGTAGACTAACTTAATCCTTATTAAGGATTAATTTAATACCTTACTTGAAGAAGTCTTTGAGTAATTCCACCCTTCCTGAGTACTCCCCTCCCTTCTTCTGATAACCAAATAAGTACAGGCTGGCCAGGGATATAGCTTAGTGGCACAGTGCCTGCCTGGCAAGTGCAAGGTGGTGAGTTCGATTCCCTGTACCAAAACAAAAACAAAAACAAAAAAACCCACACGAATAAATACAGGCCACCCAGAGAAAGTCTTAGTCTTAGCCCTGAGAGAATCTCTAATTCTGTGAGAGGGCTTTGACCCTCTTGGAGCCTTGAAATCATTCCATTAGTCTCTTTTTATTTAGCCTTTGCCATAAAATCATTCAGGAGATTGTGGACCTGATCAGCCCAAAATAACTAAGGGATATTATTAACCTGATACATATCCAGACAAGTTATATATAAACAGCAGCATCCCACATTCTGTATTTTCCTGCAACAGGCTGCTTCCTCACATATGTCCTATATGAAGCAGGGCCATCAAGAGTATGGTTCCCTCCCTTGAATCAAAGACCCCTACTGCATATCTAGTGGGGTGACCCACTCCAACATATCTGTCCATGTGCTGAGTAATGGAGAATGGAGACCTCATGGTATCTCTTCCTTGATGACCCAGCCCAATAATTCCTCCCCTTCCACAGTAAGGCTTCTTCTGAAGCCCATGTGTAGAGTGTTGTAGAATTTGTCCTGACCCCCGTGGAAACGAATGGTCACCACAGAGAGATCCATCTTGTAGGACACATGTCAATCTCTGGATCCTTCTAACCATGTAGCAGCTGTTTCACTGAAGCGTGACTGGGTAGGGAAAGCAGGGTGTAACATTTTTCTTTTTCACTGACACCCTTCAAACCTGACCTGGGGGCCCATTCTAAGCTAGCTCTGGAAGAAATCTCATGCAAGTTCTATACACTCTTTCTGGTCACTGCCACATTATCAAAAGCCCAATCTGACCCAGCTGTAGAACTGAGTAGACATAAAAGTCAGAGACCCTGCCACCTCCTTTACCATGAGATAGAAGACTTTTCCCCATACCACAGCTTGGAGCAAGGCGCAAGATGACCAACTTACCCTAGAGCTGCACCCTTGCAAAATCCTGGGGATAATAGAATGATACAAGAGTGAGAAACACTCTACTGTAATGGATAAAACCAAGCTTTTTGTGCAGATCATGTCAACACAAGTAACCAAAATAACTGCAAGGTACTTACAGCTGCATGATAATCGAGGCTTTTTGGTGAGTGCATGCACTAAGGCAAGCATTTCTACCTGATTTGAGGGGTATAGAAGTCAGAAGGATGAAGATAGATTCCTACTCATGGCATATGAATCTCAGGAGATATTTTGCATGAAACTGTCAGTGTAGGATTAGCAAGATGCAACTATTCTAGAATTTCTTAAATGCTAACCAAGGAAAAAAGGGATGTTACCAGCTGAGATCCATGAGCTTCAAATGAGCATATTCAGCATTAGAAATCTGAATTACTTAAATCTTTAGAAATTTGAAAGTAAAATACTTTGCATTTTAAGTTCCCAATAAAACATTTCCCCAGTGTGAATTTGCAATTCAAGCAGTAATTTAAAGTCATCCTGACAGACAGTAAGTCTTCTTTTTAGATTCGCAGAACCTGCCAACTTTATATAGAAGAGTTTCTACTCAACTGAGAAATCTCTTAGAGGTTCTGTAACTATAAAATACCCCAAACTCATTTGCCACACCAGTTGATGTAGAGCAGACCACATGAGATAAATATATTTTATAAATCTCATTATGAAATACTGCTAAAAGGTCCCTGATCCCTTGTAGAAAGTATATCCACAGTCAATTCTTTTGCAGTCTTGCCAGTTCTTATTTGTTTCCCCCCCCCCAGGCAATTAATTTTTTTTTAAAACTTGCTTAATAGGAACCTTGAATGATTTATAATTTTGGTTTAGCTTCCAAGAAAAATCTCAGAAAAGAAAACAAAGTGGCATTTCTTCTGTTTTCAGTTTGATCCACTCAAAGTGACTGCTTTGGTAAATAGAGAAGGTATCAGTTTCGTTCTTTAGGATGGTGATGGAAACTGTAGAATACAAAAACTAAAATGGATTATTTAAAGCATTCAAAATCACTCCCTTCTACCTTTGGGTTAAAGCTACACACAATTCCTGGTATATGTTCAATTGGTGACTAAAATATATTATTAAAAGTTTCTTACATTTTTAAGAGTACTTCAGTTATCACTGGTAAGTGAAATGACTATCAAAATTCTCCCACTTTAAGCATATATTAATTGTGAAGAACATGTAGGCAGGAGATAAATGCTCTTTAATTTTTGCCTGTCTGTCTATCTGTCCATCCATCTATCCATCCAACCCACCCACAGCCTTCATCCCAAGATCGTTCTTTCCAGTTTGAGACAGGCTTTTGCTAAGACACTGAGTGCATGGGCTGGGCTGGAATTTGTGATCCTCCTGCTTCAACTTCCCAAAGTGCTAGGATTACATGTTCTGTACATGTCATCATGTACAGCTAAGACATATTCTTTACAAATACAACACTGGAAATTACACATGTTCAACCTTCAGTCTAGATTGAAGGACTCATAAATATGGCAGGTAAAAAATTCAGCCTTGCACTTAAATATGGGTAGAATCTGTTAGCATGAGTTACTTACTGTAATGGGAGAGAAAAGCAATTTTAGTGCACATGGAATCCTCAACCTGTTCACAGAGATCTCCCCAACTTGGTGTGGCACCCTCTCCCCATTGCACACTTCTCTCTACACTTTTAATGTGTATAGTTTCACACTAGATAAACTTTCAATTAGCCCATCTAGTTTAGATTGTCATTGCTTCTGACACTCTTATTGCTGTGTGATCAATAAAATTCCTATGAGAAAATACTACTCCAAAAAAACTATGCTTAAAAAAACTGCTGAGAGAGGAGAATGGTATCACACATTAATTGGGGATCATATTATAGCATCTTTAAAATAAATACTTTTTAATGAACTAAGGTGATGAGAAAAGCCAAAGTATACTAAATTAAAGAGCAAACTAAAAGACAGATAATAGGAAGCAGGGAGATAGACATTTTGCATTTGGGAGGGGACCAAGAGATCAAAGGAGGGAAGGAGGAGAGGACAAGGACATGAAAAGAATTAAGATGTGCTATTTGTATGTACCAACTTCCCTTAATGAATATAACCATTATGTACTACAAATTCTGGGTATGGTGGTGTACACCTGTAATGCCAGTACTCAGGAAGCCAAGGCAAGAGGATCACCCTGAGTTCACAGCCAGCCTGAGCTACATAGCAAGTTCAAGACCAGCCTAAACTATCTCGGGAAATCCTGTCTCAAAAATAATAATAAAATGCAGGCTGAGAAGCGTACAATGTGAACTTTCTGTCATAGTCATTTTTTTCATTGCTGGGACAAAATACCCAGAGAAGGAGGAGAGGTTTACTTCAGCTCACAGTTTGTAGAAGTTGCCAGTCAGCTGGCTCCAAGGCTGGGTGGCGTGGTAGAGCGGCATTGCAGAGGAGAAATCGTTCATGGCAAAGGAGGCAGGGAAGCAGCAAGCCGCCCTTTTCCTTTAATCACATCCAAGCCACAAGCTTTTTGGTGGTGGTAGCTACACACAGGTTGGGGCTTCCCATTACCATGCCCAGAATTATGCTAAACCAATCAGTGGACTAATTTAGTACCACACATCCTGAATCTCAGTATCGCGCACACCTCACATTCAGCCAGCTCTGAAAGGCCTCACCTCTGAGCACAGGAGACTTTAGGACATCTACACATAAGCTGCAACACTTTCTTTAGTTTTAGGATTGTTTTTCAGTGCTGTTCTACCTCCTTTCCTCCATTTGAATATATTAGAGCCCCTCCAGGGAAAGGTTACTAGAAGACTGGTGATTAGAGAAAATGGGCATAAAACACTTAGCTCTACTGAAAGGTGTAGCTGTAGTCTTTATTAATTTCCCTAGGGCATGGTGAGAGCAGTCTGGTGTTCAAGCGGGTCCTTTGAAGATTCCCTATCACTGATGCATTTCTCACCTGACACTCTTTAAATGCAAGTGGCACCTTGTCTGAGTGTCAGCTTGTAAGTTTTCACTCAGCTCCAGGTCCTAGAGAGAAAGAGTACCTCCATTGTTGGATTCCATTGCAGACTGCCGCCACACTCCCCCAACAACAAAGCAGTCCATTTGGATGGGGTCCTGTAGCTCACAGAACCCACCAGACAGACTGTGGGAGAACAGGGCATTCTGAGATGACCAGTTCTCCTCCTGATGCTGCCAGACAGGGCCAGTGCCTTACGCAGTCTCCTGGCTTTCGCCTTTCAGACAGCTGATAGTTCAGTGACCCTCAAACCTCCAGGGACAGCAAAAGCTCTAACTCTCAAACTTTCCCAATGTGGTTTCTCTGAGCCCCTCTTTTTAGCTTAGCATGAGGAAGAACCATCCCCCTGTGCAACCCTGTTTTGGGGAACACAGTAATACCTTTCCACAAAGAAACCCTTCCAGCAGGCTCTTCCGCCTTCCCATGATTCCTCATCTTCTACGTCAGAATACGGAGCAGGGTGATGGGCTAATGCTGGAATCACAATCTGGCCACACAACCTGCACAGGTGATCACCACCTGGCTTAAAATTTGGGCGTAGTTGGCTCTTACTGTTTTACTCTTGAGACTTGGGCTTCTGCTGAAGTTTTAAGATAAAAAGAAAAACCAATTTCAATACTTCGTTACAAGGTACTGTCAATTCTAAGGTGCCATCTTTTAAAAGTGACAAGGTGGGGAGAAGCAGTAGTAGCATGCCATGTGTCCATCTGACAAAGAGACATTTCTCCACCTCAGGATCTCCAAGGCTGAGGGGGAAGCGTGTGCCTTGAAAGATAGTAAATGGACATTACTCAAATTTCTCTATTTCTTTCCATCTTCACAGTCCCTGTTTTTCTTCAAATGTCATTATCTCTTGCCTGTGGGGACATAGCTCTCTAGTTAGCAATCTGAACATCTGCTTCGCCCTTTCTCTGTTCTCACCAAATATATTACTGTATTGCTTTCTTAAAGCAGCAGAAATGAATTACTACAAACTTCATGGCTTAAAACAACAAATTCCATTTCTACCATTTTGGAAGCCAGAAGTCCCCGATGAAGGTGTTGGTCCAGCTGATCCCCTCAGCAGGCTCTGAGGGAGAATCCGTTCCAGGCCTCTCCCATGTGTGCCGTGGCTCTGCGACCTTTATATTCTCTGTTTTGTTTGCATCACAGCAATATACGTCTTCATCTTCACTCTGTGTATCTCTTTGTGTCTCAGATCTCCACCTCTGTCTTGTAAGAGCATCAGTCATTGGATTTAGACCAACCCTAAATTAAAAATGATCTCCTCTGGAGATCTTCAATTTAATTATGCCTGCAAAGATCCCATTTTTAAATAAGAGCACATTCACAAGCTCTGGGGGTTAGGACATGAATATATCTTGGGGAGGGATCACCATGGAAACCATCACCATCGAAAAGAGCCTCTCCCAAGCATCCTCCTTCTCTTGCACTCAGCAAAACCATCTGCCTTCCAAACAGAAAGGCCGAGAATGCCTCTGAAAGGTCCAGATCCACACTGATGGGCCGAATGTTTTTTCTTGCACAGGTGTAGTAAGTAGGAATGGGGACTGGCCAGTGTGCAGTGTCAGGGGGAAGAGCCCCAGGGAGCTAAGCAGAGGCAGACTAGGCAGAGCAGAAAGTCTCCAGCAGGCAACTGTCCCCCAACTAAGCATTCTTTGTAAAGTGACATGCCCCAATGCCCTGGTAACTGCCCGGAGCATACACCCATGTGTCACACAAAGCCCTGTGAGGGGCCCTGAATTGGAAGTAGGGCTCTATAACACCTGTGGTGTGATGTCAGCATGAGGAAAAAGCTTAGCCTCCTTGGCCTAAGGTGAAACCCACACTCCGCATACCTTGATAGATGTCCCAAAGCCATCTCTTCCCTCGACTCTGGGCCTTCAATACATTCTGCACGATTTCCCCACAGTGGCCTTGCTGGAAATCAAACCTGACTTGAACGCTATTCTCCTTTCAACTCTTCAGTGGCTTCCCTGAGCTTCAAAATAGAATCTTCCCAAGTTATCACCATAGGAAATATTTAAGTTTTCTCTAAATACCCACATCATTCTTTGAAGCCCTAACTCTGGGATAATTGCTTCCCTTAAAAGAATGATAACACATTTTTCCTTACAGAGATCATGTTTGTGACAGAAAATATAGAACAGTGGAAAAGATTACCCGCATCTCCACCATTGTTAATATTTTGATGGATGTATCTCCAGGTTTGGAAAAGCAGCTTCACTATTGTTTATGTGTGTTTGCTACTTTAGGAATGACTGTGGTCTACGGCCATACCACCCTGAACGCGCCCGATCTCGTCTGATCTCGGAAGCTAAGCAGGGTCGGGCCTGGTTAGTACTTGGATGGGAGGAATGACTGTGACGTGAAGATGATACTATATTTGAAATTTTGCCTCTGGCTTTTTGGATGTAATGTTTTAAGCACATACATTTTTCTACACTACTATAAAGTATTTGTAAGAGTATATTGGCTGATAATTTATCTCCTTACCTTTCAAAGCTGAAAGGCCTCTTAATTTATTTTTACTTCCTGGTTCCTTCTAAAAGAAGACTAAGGCAAATGGAACATGCAGACTGATACTGATCCCCCAGTATTTCCTGCTCACTAGAAATCTTGACTTCCAGTCCTCCAGTTCCTCATATGTTAAACTTGTTTCTTAGCATGGTGTGAGGGTTAAATGAGATATTCTGCAGTAAATTCCTCCATATTCCTGTGAATAGGCCAATGGTCTAAGAGTCCTCTTCATCACTAAAACTTCAATACAGAGAGCACAGTGAGGTTAGTCCCAGGAGAGTCATAGGTCAGGGAACTGACCACTGACCTGCAACTCCTGCTGCTTCCACATTCTTGCTCATCAGCTCAAAATCTTGCTTGTGGCTCAGTGGAGCAACAAAACCAGAGGCCACTGCTCTAATTTGATTTCATTTCTCCTCTGACTTGGTATTTAAACTTAAAAAACTCCTCAGTCACTCAAGCATTCACAGTTGAGAGTGGTACAAGGAAGTTTCTAATAAGTAAAAACACATCATTCTTTGAAGGCTTAACTGGGATAATTGCTTTCCTTAAAATAATTATAATGCATTTTCATTGTAGATATGTTTTATTCCTTGAGTGACAAATCATTTGTGGCTTACACAAAACTAGGCAGAAAGTAGGAAACAAGCAGGGGTAGAGTATACCATAATCCTGGGACTCTCTCTCTCTCTTTCTCTCTCCTCTCTCTCTCCCCTTTCTCTCTCTCCTTCCCTCCCTCATCCTCCTCTTTTCTCTCTCCCTCTCACTTTCTCTTCCTTTCACGGACTGTCCAATTGGATTTCCATGAGTAGTGGAATGTATCTCCAGATGTGATTTACTCTCCAGAAAATTAGGGATTAATCTGTTTTATATTAACTGGTAAGAGACCAGGTCAGGAGAATCCTAACTTGGAAGTTGAAAAGGGTCATTGTGGACTATTCCATAGGCCCAGTGCCAGCTTCCCTTTTAGTCTGACATGAGACTGACGAAATAAAGAGCAATCAGCACACCTCGTACCCTAACCTGTGTGTCTGCCTACGTTTGGCCTAGAACCAACGCCTAAGACTGAAAAAGGCAGCTGTTATGGCCCTCTGGAGTCTCTGGGCAGTACTGGGCATGGTCCTGGTGGCCTGTGGCTAATTATGACTCTTTTTCAGGTATGCAGACCGACACCTCCCTGTTCTCTAACCGTCAGACTTCCTTTGTGACCTCGGAAGTGACGCTGAAGAGGAAGTGACGTTTAAAGTCAAGAGGAAGTGACGTTGGAAAACGGTGGAATGCTGGCCTAGAATTCATGCATCTCTCAGAGCGTTCATTCTATGACCTCTAAAAGGAGACTCTGCTTGTCTCAGCTCTGATAGTTACAAGACACAAATTGTTAAAGCAATTAGCCTAAGAAGAGGGGTTAATATACAGCTAGATGGGGACCAGAGAGGGAGAGCGAGTGTAGGCCAGCTCTCCTCCTCCCCTGCTGGGATCTCTGCTTCCCTCTCTGGCTGCTGCAGTCCCTCCTCTTTCCCTTCAGCCTCCTTGGCTTCCACCCTGCATCCTTTCTGCACTCGAATAACCCCTGTGTTCACATGGCTTTTCATTGCCTCGGCCCTGATTCAACCCCATCACATCATATTTTACTTTGACCTCCACTACTAACTGTAGTTCCCTGTGCTTTTGCTTACATTTCCAAGAGAAAAATTTTGAAGACCCTGGAGGTTGAATCATGTCCCTCAAAAAGATATGTTTGATTCCTACCCCCAGACACTGATGAACTTACTGGGAAATAGGATCTTGGCAGATGTAATCAAATGCAGATGAGGTCATATGGTTTACTGTGGGCTCTAAATCCAACATGATGATGTCCTTAAAAGAAGTCAACTTCTGACACTGAAAAAGTGACACATGAGGAGGGTGTCATGTGATGACAAAGGCATAGAGCCGGGTGAAGCCAAAGAAAGCGAAGGACTGTTGCCAACCACCAGAAGCAAAAGAAGAAAGGAAGGAGCCTTTTCCAGAGCTTGCGGAGGCAACACGATAATGCCAACAACTTGGTGTCCGATTTCCACCCCTCGTACTTGTGAGAGCATCAATGTCTGTTCCTTTAAACCACTTAGATTGTGGTACTTTGGTCCGACAGCCCTAAATGATTAATTCATGCATGTCATCTTTGGTACCAGGGCAGCCTGAGAATTTGGTCAGTTCAGGTTAGGTATTCACTCTTCACCCAGCCAGATGTGGCCCGGGGAGTCAGGATAAGGTGGTACCATTATAGCCACGTGGGCAGTAATAGTGTAGGCAGAGCCATGCTTTTTTTTTTTTCCCCCCTTTTTTTGAGGCAGGGTCTCGCTATGTAGTTCAGGCTGGCCTTGAACTCACTTTGTAACCCAGGCTGGTCTCGAACTCACAACAATCATCCTGCCTCAGCCTCCTGAGTGCTGGGATTACAGGCACGCGCCATTATGCCCGGCTAGAGCCATGTCTTTTGAGGGAGATATGAGCAAGAACAGGAGTTGGTAGACGCCATCTCCTCACTATCAGTTAAGCGGCTTTCAGACTTTCCTTTCTAAACATGCACACTGCCCAGGACCCTGTGTTACCTCTGCCTGTGTTCTATCCGAAGGAACAATTTTGTTGTTGCTTTGTTTGGCAAAGCACTGTTTTTAATATAAATTGTTTGCACACCTGCAATTCCCCAGGGATAGTTTCTTTAAATAAAACCCGCATTGTTTACTCGCCCACCCTGCCCTGTTCACCCATGAGCCCCTGTTCACCCTATGGGCCCCTGCCCCATAAGACAGTCACGTGAGGCAGAGTGCTCTGGACACAGCTACCTCGCAGAGCCAGAGGCATCAACACCCTAAGGACAACAAACAAATCCACAGAGAAACTGAACGGCCTGCATTCATGCCAAGTGAGATTTAAAAAAAAATAAGAAGATTCCTCGCCTGAGGTATTGAAAGACGGATAGACCCAGCGCCAAAGTGAGAAAGAAAGTGTTGTCAAACCAAGCCACAAATTACGAGGACAGGTACGATGCTCCCTCCTGCCGCCCTACTGTGCAGATTCCAGGGGACTATGACATCTTAGACAGAGTGGACAGTCTGAGCCTGCGTTCCTCAAGATGTTTTGTGTGTTGAATTAACTGTTTCTTCATAAGTAAACCACTTTGGCATGTTATAACTCTATATTGATGATAACGGTGCTTCGGGATTTTTGTGTAGAGAGATGGGACGCCAAGGCCTTTTTCCCCGGAAGCAGCTTTATTCGTGCTGGCCCTGACTCAGGGGATACATATGTAAAGGCAGAGCGGCAAATATGGCTTAGTTGCACCTATATATACAAAAGTTTTGTGTCTTTGTCTCCCTTGTATGGTCATCCACTAACATTTGGCGGTCTGGTTGGGTATACACGAACGTCCTACACTCTGGCTGGGGATGACTTATGTTACAGAATTACATCAGAACTACACATGTGTACACAGAGGCTGCCATCTCTGCATGGTAAAAAGTTCCTTCCCCAACCCATTGGAAGGGCCCTATCACAATAGTAATGAATATACCTTCAAAAATTTAATTA